AAGTAATCTAAGTGCCCATCAGTAAATGAGTGGATCAAAAAACTGTGGTACATTTACACAATGAAATACTATGCAGCAGAGAGAAAGAAGGAACTCCTATCCTTCAAAACAGCATGGATGGAACTGGAGAGCATTATGCTAAGTGAAATAAGCCAGGCGATGAGGGACAAATACCATATGATCTCACCTTTAACTAGAACCTAATCAACAAAAGAAAAAAGCAAGCAAAATATAACCAGAGACATTGAAATTAAGAACAATCTGACAGTAACCAGAGGGGAAAAGGGAGGGGATAATGGCGGGAAGGGTTTTCAGGAACTGCTACAAAGGACACATGGCCAAAACCAAGGGGTGGGGGTGGAAGCAGGAAATGGAGGTGGGTTTGGCGGGGGTGGGGGGAGGTCGTGGGGATAAATGCAAATAACTGTAATCGAACAATAATAAAATAATTTTAAAATAAATAAATAAATAAACTATGTTTTAAAAACCCCTCAAATACCTTCAAAATAAAAGGAAATCTTTCTCCCACACACAAAAAATCTGGACTTCCTATAATTTATGTCACATACAATTTTTCTCAAATTTTGTTTTCAAGCAAATAACCTTTTCAAGGTACTGAAGTGTCATTCACTGCATTGAAAAAGGAACCTCAGAGATTTTCTTCCCTCCCTTGAGAGCTAAAGAGACTAAGTCTCAGAGGGGTCAAGTGGCTTCTCAAAAGTACTGGAATCCAGATCTGGGTTTTATTTCAATGCTCTTTCCACCAAGCAACTCTTTCTCCCTAAATATTAATTCCACTGTTGTCAGCCATCTGATAAATCTTTGTATTCCCTGGGTTTAATTGGATGTCCAATTTTTCATACTGATAGCTGTCCCCAGACACAAACTGTATCAAAAAAAGCTATTCTCTGTCCACACAATTTTAATGATTTAGATTTCTTCAGCAAGTCTCTAGCTTAGTTTTAAATGTCAGGACTTTTCTTCATTTCACTTTCATTTTTAAAGGTTATTCTAAGGTAAACGGGGACAGTGTAGTGGGAGCAGAGCAAACAATATGTGTCTCTCTGGTACTCATATTGTTTTGTTAATACACCAAGCCTTTCTTTAGGCCTCTTCTTTGGCCCTCAACTATATATGTTATTTTAAACAAATCATATTTCTCATTTATTTCTCTATTATATTTATGCCAACATATTTTGGAAAGAAAAGTCTGGAAAATATTTACCCAACCTAAGACATTCTCCTAGCCCCACAGCCTAGTGTTCCGCTTTACCAAGCAGTTCTATGTCAGTAGACACTTTGCTAGACGGGATATTCTTTGTATGGGTCAGAAAGAAGCAAGGGTTAATTGAAGGAGCTGCTGATCATCTGCCACTGACTTGAGGAACAGAAGAAAATTTGTTTTAGAACTTGCTCTCATCTTGAACCAGCTACCAGTCATCTCTTTCTTCATTTTTCTTCTTGACATTTTGAACCAAAGAATAAGGCTATCTTCCTAGTACACCTTTAACTCTTGTAGAGAGATTTGACTAATATGATTTTAGTCTTTTTCAAGGGGTGGGGGTCATTTTTATAAGGTAAAAATTATTAGACCCTTTAATGTCTTCCCTTTCATCTTTCTTTTTAAAATACTGTTTTTTTCAACAAAGCATCAAGGAATTATAGGGGAATAAAGGAAAATATGTTGAAGCATGTAGGTTCTCATTAGATGGTTATAATTATGGCTGGGCCACTGGCCTTTGGTAAATGAGGATGACAGGCTCAGAAATTAATTAAGGTTTTTGAGGTTCTGCACACACTAGACCCTACTTGTCCTGTAATCTCTTAATTGAAATATTACTGTAAAGCCATTACTGTAAAGCCATTAGAAATGCATAGAATTCAGATTAAACACAATTTAATACAACTGCAAAAAATTAAATACAATTGCAAAAAATGCAATTTTTAAGAAAAATCACTGGGAAGTAGACCCTGCTTAAAGCTAATCATCTAAAATAAGAAGAAATTTACTTAAATAAATACCCTGTTTATTGAAGTAACATGATTTCATACATAGACTAAGACTGTTTCCTTGGGCTTGGCTCATGATGCTAAGTGGCAGAGGAAAGCATGGAGAAGAAACTCGACTTCAGGGAGATAGGACTTTAAGAGCTGGAGACTTGAAGGAAAGAATGTGGGTCTGTTTTTCCAGCCTCTGTTTTTTCTACCTTACCTAACCTAAGTGCTTTTGTACCTAATTGATTTTGTACCTAATTAATCTAAATGCTTTTGTACCTAAATTTCAGACTCATCTCTTAATACCACCCTCAGCAAAACTATGAAGTAGATAATATTTTATGATCTGTCTTCATATGACAAATAACTAGTATCTTTACATTCTTTGTACCCAATGACCAATTTTTCCAAGAAGTTGACAGGGATGTGCTATGTGGGCCATTCTGCCCTCCTTACAGGTAAGACAAAGCTATTCTTTAGAAAGGAAAGGATCCATGAGACCTAGGGTCACCTTGAGAGGAGGTGGACAAGGAGTGGGTGTTGGGTACAATACATGAAACAGACCTTAGAAATCTAAAAGGCAACATCCACGAAAACCTAAAACCAAGCCTAGGTAAACTAGACAAAGCAGTCATGGTCCCAAAGGGGTCATGAGGTGGAGGAGGATCCACATAAGAGGCAATAGTATAACTGGAGCTTGGGGAAGCCAGATGAGAACTACAGGGTTCAAAGCATCAAGTGGGTGGTGGGGACTGGGGTAAAGCATGGCTTAGATGCTCATAATATGGGATTTATGGGTGGTGAGGTGCCCTTAAGATGTTTACTTGACTCACCCCACCTATCCTAACTGTGCTAGTAATAAACTATTTACAAACTCAGCTTCACACCCATTTTTTCATATTCCTCGTGGTGAAACTGGACTGGGGTCCTACTGACCACATGGCTCCTTTGCCAGCTTTTTTCCTGTTAGCTAGATTCAGCCCATGGCGGGTAGTAGAGAGGTACTACCAGGCATTAATTTTGGGAAAGTAAAATCACTTCTTTGTGTCTCAGCTTCCAGACACAATGTGGAAATAACAGCCACATCACTGGGCTATTAGGATTAAGCAAGCCCACTCAGCAAGTTCCAGAGTAAGTACTCGGTATATGGAAGGGAAGTGGGGGGTGGATTCCTCACTCTAAATGGGGTTGACCAGTCACTCAGTGCCCAGTATTATTAGTCAGGTTCCAGTCTAAGAAACAAAAACTAGTTATTTTAACAGGGAAAATTTAATATAAGGAATTCATTTAAAAGACATTGGAGGACTGAAAAGGAAAAGGAGGACACTGAAATAACACAGAAATGGCAGGAAGCAGCTACCACCCTAGGCTGGAGAAACAAAGGGAAGAGTTTGGGGTTATTTGAACACAGAAGCTTAGAAAGGGGTGCTGGGACCCAGTTTTCTGTAGAAAGAACACTAGGTGTCTCAGAGGAATGTGGAGGCAGCGGGGGAGTGGCAAGTGAAACCAACTGTCACTGCCAGAATGGGATTGTGGCTGTGACAAGACTGTAATGATGTTTTTCTTTTCACTTCTACTACTAGGAAGCTCAGAGTCCAATGGGTTGCCCACTTTTGGCAAATGAGTAGAACTTTGTGTCATTATGACTGCAATGATTTTTATTGTATTACTTTATTTATGATTATTTTATTTTAACATACTTTACATTATACTGTGTACTTCTTTGTGAATCTCCTCAAAATTTTGTGGAAACCCTTGGAATATTTCTTCCTCCATCTATATTGCCATCATCTATATTTGGATTTATACATTCATCTATAACTTTTAACCTCCATTTACACTTCATTTTACTGCCATGTATGCCTCATCAATACCTCTATCTATAATTTTATCCATCTATAACTATGAGGGAGGCAGAGACAGTCCAACTCTGTCTTTATAGTTTCAACTGTATCTTTTTGACCCAAATTTGAATATGAAAGCATAATTAGGAAGCTTTTTTCATAAAGACAGCTCACATCTTTTCTTCAGCCTCCACTGTGTTTCCATAAGAAAGCCTTGCATTGAAAGATATACTAGTGGGCCTGTGATATAGAATCACAAACTTAAAAAATTCTAACCATCAAGAAATCTCATTCATCATTTCATTTTTTTGGAAAGGATATATAAAAAATGAAATGTCAGGGCTATAATGTCAGGACTGTTTAAAATGTCAAGTGCTTGTTGTTGCATAGCCTGGCTGTCTGCTGTTCTGATCAAACCTCCAACTGGCATAATAATTACAGATGATGCATTGCATTTTCAGGCACAACTGGACCCAGAGTTATAACAAGCCAGACAGAAACATTCTCATTGCCCAGCCTGAAATTTTCTCCTTTTACTACAGAGCTTAAGACTTTTGCCTTTGCAACAGAACATTATTAGTGATTCAAGACAGCATTTGGAGTCAGGAGTGGGAAAGAAGAACAGAAAAAGAGTTTCTCAATAGACCAGAGCTCAGTCATTTATGATGTATGGATGCAACAAGAGCCAAGAGGCAGTAAACACATTTGCGGAATACATGGTTAGTCTAAGAAGTATGCTAACCTGTGGAGACACCGCCCAGATCATCTAGTTCTATTTCAAGACGAGATTAATTTGGGTGTGCGAGGAAGCATACAGGTGAGCTCTATTTTGAACTGACAGATATGGAGACAATTCTTCAGTTTAATCGTCGTATTCTGATCTGCTCAGAGAATACTAATGTGTAAACAGAAAAACAACAATGCTCTGTCTATGATTTTTATGGAAGGCTCTGTGGGACTTAAGATAAGTGATATGTTCATAAACTGACACCAATTATAATAAAAACCTGAAGTCAATAACATGTACCTGGGGGAAATTTCATTTCTTCTTAACTGAAATCTGGAAAAGCCCTTCTCAAAGCCACTTCAGTGTCATCTTCTGTAGACGAGCCTTGTCAGATGGTTTGAAGGAAGCTTCCTCCTGTGTCTGGCTGCTTCCCATTACAGATAACTTTCAGGACATTGGAAAAGTCGAAGCTCTTGGAAACAATCTCCAGAAGATCCTGATCTTTTTCTGTGCCATTGATAAATTCTTCTAAAGTCAATTCTCCTAGAAAATAAACAATTAACAAGAGGCTTTGTCCATACCACTCACTGCCATATACAATATATTCACTGGTAACATTATTGATATTTTTCTTTGATATGTTTTTACGTCAGCCAGACTCTAAATTCTTAGACTGCCCTTATATAGAAAAGCATTCAAGGGTAGGATCTCTAGTGAAAATAAAGATGATGAATACAATCTATTTTTATTTTTGGGCTGAGATGTGAGATAAAGCACCTGTGAGCTCATATACATTCACATCTTTACACAGTTTTGGTTACTTGACCTTTAATCTTGAAGATACACTGAGTCATAGAAGCATGAAGATTGAAGATTTCTAAGATCAGGAGGAAACAATTGTTTGTAAGGCTGTTTTCAATATTCCTCTCTTTCAGAAAAAATTCCAGATGCTCCAAAATTGTGAGACAGGTTAAACACTTATTCATTCCACATATTGGTCATTAGTTCTCCTCTTCTGTTCTGATTGTTGATTCCTAATGTTATTCCCTTGACTTAAGCTTTAGCCTATGCTGGCCAGTCCAGTGCTATAAAACAATGTACTCCTTTGTATACTGGCTGCCATATTTTCCCACTACTCTCATCCCACAAGACAACTTTTCAACATTTTTGGTGGGTATGTGGTGGAGTTCTCTGTTGACTTATTTGTATTATAATTATGAGTGTATTCAAGTAGATGGGTACAAATGCAATTTCTGATTTCAAAGAGATTGTATCTAGTAGAGTTTGTGTCTGGGTGGAAGACAGGCCAAAGACAAGTCAAGGACGTTCAGTAACTAGAGCATGTGCACTTGGTGCAGGAAGTCAGCAGAGATTGAGATCAGGTGTTGCACTGTGCCTGTACTTCCTAATGAATAAAGACAAATATCTAAGATACAACCACAGTGATTCAAATATAAATAAGCATGAATCATTACATTCTCATAACATACTTTCCTTTTGTTTTCAATGGTAAAATACTAAAATACATTTTGTAGAGAGAAATCTAATCTTTGCTCCTTATGTTTTCTTTATGCCAAAGAAGTCTGCGCAAAATCCCAACTAAAACCTCAGAGGGTAGGAATAGAATTCTCTGTCTCATAAGGAATGTACAATGTCCAAAATGAAGTAGATAAAATTGAAAATAAAAAGGAGTGGGAAGTGTGTGGGTGGGAGAGTCACATGGGTGCAGAGATGGTGGGGCAGGGGGCCATACATAACAAAAGAACAACTGTCAATTGCAAAGGAAAATCACAGCTGCCCATTCCCAACCTAAGAAATTTTTCAAATCTTGAGGGACTCAGTGTGACAAAAGAGCAATGGGAGTGGAGATAGGAGAGCTGAAGTAGATTTTGACCACTGTTTCGACACTTCTCTGTTATCACTGCTGCCATGAAAGAAGCTGTCTGCAGGCCTGGGGTATAGTCGCATGTTGACTAAAAGACAATGCAGGTTACAGATGTAAAAAAGAGTGAAAGAAATACTTTTTAAAAAAATATTTTTATTATGATATATATTTTTCCTTTTTAAATTATTTTTCAGTGACAGTTTACATTCAACATTATTCTGTATTAATTTCAGGTGTGCACCATAGTGGTTAGACAGCCATATGCTTTACCAAGTGTCCCCGCTCCCCTTCCCCAATATTTCCAGTGCCCACGTGGTACTGTACATAATTGTTACAATATTATTGACTCTATTCCCTGTGCTGTACTTTATATCACCAGAATTGTTTTGTAATGACCAATTTGTGCTTCTCAATCCCTACAGAGTTCATTACACCACTGGTCAGTGTTACTGGTGCTCCTGCATCACTCAGTACAAATTTCTGCATTTTCACTAGAGAGAGGACAGCTACCTATGACTTTATCTTTGGTCCTGTTTCTGCAGTCTGATTATATCTTCTTGATCCTCGTGGTTGATATATTTCATCCTATTAACACCTTACATATTTTTATAACAAATCAAAAAATTACTGCCCCCCCAAAAAAGCCAAATTTTATTGTGTGTGCCCATATTAGCATATTGCTCTAAAGAAGTCAGCTTGGTTTTAAAAGAAACCAACTTTTGTAAAAAAGTTTTATTTTACCAATTAGTACTAATTCTTATATTTTAGAACTTCAGGGGAAAAAATGATGCTGGGACTTGGAATTAGCAAAGATGGGAATGAGGAATCTTAGGAGATGAGAATGATCAGATATTCAAAGAAGGATGCTGAGGAAGATTTGTAACAAAACAAGTTATATATTCATTAGCAAGGCCGCATAGAGGCATTTAGCAATATTTTATAGCAGGGGTGTTTTATTTTATTTTATTTTATTTTTAAATTATAGTTTACTTTCAATATAATTTTGCATTAATGTCAGGTGTACAGCACAGTGGAAAGAAGGTGATTGTTGAGCAGTCATTTAGGGTAAAAGAAAACAGACAGAGCATAAAGGAAGACATTGAGTGGCTGGCCAAAAAGACATGTTTTAGAATGTGGAACATTCTGGAAAGCCACAAAAGTCACAGTGAAGCAAACTGAAAACTGGGAACTACCAAGAGATCACAAAATCATAGCAGAGTTTTAAGTGTTACAGAACAGACCCAGGGTGGGGGCAAACAGTATACTATTACCAAATGGACCCACCCTTGTGCTCCGGGGTCCCCCACCCCCTGCTAGTTTCACCTTGTCTGCCTCCAGGGAAAGACGTCTCTCAATGGCAGAGATTAGTGAAAAGGAAAGGGATTATTTATTTAAAGAGTTATACAAACTTAAGAATAATGACTTAATGTCTTCATTGAGATCCCAAAGTCCTGCACAAATGCACAGTTCCTCCTTCCCCCTCTTCCCAGTCTAGGGTACCGTATCTCAGAAAAAGAAATAGAAGTCCATGGTTCTTCTCTGCCCAAGACACGTGGTGCCAAAAAGACCCCGAATGGCTACCATGCCTGGGTTTAAATCCCAGGGCCAATCTTCCTCTGCACAACATTTCTGACTCCTCCCACAATTGGCCACAGCAGCCAGCATTTCTGTATTTTTCCAGCTTATTGAGCTAGCATAGTAACTCCAGGCAGGTGTGGCCCTGAGGTGTGGAGTCAGTCATCTCCAAGTTCTTACACAGGCACTGTAACAAGGAGGAGTTGCCTCCCAGTTACATCATGGATTGAAGTTACTCCCATCCTCCTGGCTCAAGCATGGCCACAGCTGTTTAACATATCTATGAAGCCAGTTAAAGGTTATAGATATGTTAAATGACCATTCTAGAGGTTATCTGCAAAACCATTGCTATTCAAAACAACTCTCAATGGCCCTGCTCCATGTGTCCCATCCCCCAGCTCAAACTTTTGGGGACAAGGACATCCCATATGTATATATATATTTTTCTAATATTTTCTGGACACCAAGTTCTAGACCCCATTTCAAATCCCTACTTGCCCCCTGCCGACTACACCCTGTTACATAAGTACAGTGGTTTCTTCTTTTATATGAGGAAACTCAGTGCCCTCTGATCTGTTCCCAGTTTGCTTCACTGTGACCTGTGTGACTTTCCAAAATGTTCCAGTCTAAAACACATCTTTTGAACATCAGGGAGTCTAACTGGCCAAGAAGAAGGTAGGTAGATACACTTTGCCTCCTCACACAATGAAAAGGACAACAACAAATTTAAAAACAAAAAATAACCAGAACTACCATAAAATCAAACTGTATGGAAGTTCAACAACCATGAGTTGAAGAAGAAACATTCATCCCGATTGGTAGGAGGGGTAGAGATGGGCAGCTGGGCTGAAGAGGACTCATGGCAAGGCAGCAGGTGGCAGACAAGGCAATCCCACATTTGCATGCAGATAACCAGGAAGAACAACTAGGGGGCAAGACAGACTGCACAACCCGGGGCTACAGTGTGGGGAAACAAAGTCTCAAAATCTCTGGCAATAAAAACCTGCAGGGGTTGTGGTGGTGGGAGAAACTCCCAGCCTCACAGGAGAGTTTGTTGGAGAGGACCACAGAGTCCTAGAATGTACACAAACCCACCCATATTGGAATCAGCCCAGAAGGGCCCAATTTGCTTGTGGATAGAGGGGAAGTGACTGAAAGTTGGCCAAAAGTAGATCAAGTGGTGTTGTTCCCTCTCAACTGCCCCCCCCTGCACTGCCACAAACAGTGCGGCATCACAGTGACATGGATTGCCCCACCCTGGCTAATACCTAAGGCTTCACCCCTCACTACATAACAGGCATATCGAGACAAAAAAAAATATGACTCAAATAAGAGAACAGATCAAAGCTCCAAAATTAGAACTAAGCAATGAAGAGATAGCCATCCTATCAGGTGCAGAGTTCAAAAAACTGGTAATCAAGATGCTCACAGAAATGGTTGAGTATGGTCACAAAATAGAGGAAAAAGTGAGGCTATGCAAAGTGAAATGGAGAGAATTGTACAGGTAACCAACAGTGAAATGAAGGAAACTAGGACTCAAACTAATGATTTGGATCAGAAGGAACAAATAAACATCTAAATGGAACAGAACAAAGAAACAAGAGTTCAAAAACATGAGGAGAGGCTGAGGAACCTCTGGGATAACTTTAAAAGTTCCAAAAGCCAAATCACAGTGGTGCCAAAGGAAAAGAGGAAGAGCAAGAAATTGAAAATTTATTTGAAAAAATAATGAAGGAGAACTTCCCTGATCTGGCAAAGGAAATAGACTTCTAGGAAGTCCAGGAAGCCCAGAGAGTCCCAAAGAAGTTGGACCCAATAAAGCACACAACAAGGCACATCATAATTACTTTATCCAAGATTAAAGATAAGCAGAGAATCTTAAAAGCAGCAAGGGGAAAGGAGGCTGTTATCTACAAAGGAGTTCCCATAAGTCTATCAGCTGATTTCTCAAAAGGAAACTTGCAGGCAAGAAGGGGCTGGAAAGAAGTATTTGAAGTCATGAAAGGCAAGGACCTACATCCAAGATGACTCTATCCAGCAAAGATTTCATTTACAATAGAAGGGCAAATAAAGTGCTTCCTAGATAAGGTCAAGTTAAAGGAGTTCATCATCACCAAGCCCTTATTATATAAAATGTTAAAGGGACTTATGTAAGCAAAAGAAGATCAAAACTATGAACAGTAAAATGACAACAAACTCACAACTACCAACAACTGACCACAAAAAAAAAAAACTAAGCAAACAACTAGAACAGGAATAGAATCCCAGAACTGGAGATCACATGGAGGGTAATCAGTGAGGAGGGGGTAGGGAAAGAATGCAGGGAAAGGTACAGGGAATAAGAAGCATAAATGGAGGGTACAAAATAGACAGGGGGAGGTTAAGAATAGTATAGGAAATGGAGAAGCTAAAGAACGTATATGTATGACCCGTGAACATGAATTAAGGGTAGGGAGGAATGAGAGTGGGAGGGGGTGCATGGTGGAGGGGAATAAATGGGGGAAAATGAGACAACTGTAATAGCATAATCAATAAAATATATTTAAAAAATAAATAAAACACATCTTTCTGGTCAGTCACTCAATGTCTTCCTTCACATTCTGTCCATTTTCTTTTACCCTAAACGTCCTCTCAATAATCACCCTCCTTTATTTCCCCTTTGGCTTCTTTCTGTCTCTTTTTACTGTCATTGTTTATTTTATAAGGCACTTAAGTCTTTTTTGTCCCTGTGCTATGTGGCACTTCATTAAACTTTTGGCTCTTAATGTTGTGAACAGCATCTATAAATCTTCCTAAATCAAGTCAGGAACAACTTCTCAGCAGCTCATGGTGCAATGCAGACTGCTCTTCTTCGAGGAGTAAAGGTTGTGGAATTTCACGCTCAGTCATTTATCCCAACTTGTCTCGCTGCACTCTCTCTTTCCAATCTTCAATAATATTGAATATTGAACTTCAGTTTTCTGTCTTTGTGATTCTCATCAAGCTCTCCTCCCTGGATGCTATTGTGCATAATATAAAAGTAAAAGTAGCTTGAATTATAACAATAATACTTTTTCATGGTAAAAATTGAAACACTGCTGGAAGGTGTAATGAAAAGAAAAAAATCTCTCCTTAACCTCTCTCTGGTACCCCAATTCTACTTTCCATTGGCAATTAACTCCTATTAATCAATCTGTGTTTATATTTTATCAAATTTTGCAATGCATATAATATGTTAATTTCCAAAATAGTCTCCTCAGGTCTTTCTTCCTAGAGATAGAAATACATATTATGCTTGTTTCTTTTTTATTTCTTCCTTTGCTTTTCATAGGACATTTTATCAGACACTCGTTCATTTGTCAACTATTTCTGGAGTACCTATGTGCCAAGAAGTAGGACAGCAGAGGAAATACAAGGCATATAAAATGGAAATAGTTTTGTTAGCTCATCTTTTTATTTTTAGCATTATTCCTATATTTCTTTTTAGATTAGTCTTCTAACTTTGCTAACTACCATCATGATTATGCATAGAATACTTCATAGTTGTTATGTATTTTTGTATGAACAGACCTCATATTGATCATTCTTTTGCAAACAATTTGCAGTCTAATTGGGGTTTTCATATATGTCCCTGAAGTTTTTCTTGTTGTATCTTGGTGTGTTTCACTATTCACTGGATCATCAGGTACTAATGATGTGCTTGCTTTTTTTTTAAAGATTTTATTTATTTATTTTTAGAGAGGGAAGGGAGGGAGAGAGAGAGAGAGAGAGAGAGAGAGAGAGAGAGAAACATCAATGTGCGGTTGCTGGGGGTCATGGCCTGCAACCCAGGCATGTGCCCTGACTGGGAATCGAACCTGTGACATTTTGGTTCTCAGCCTGCTCTCAATCCACTGAGCTATGCTAGCCAGGGGCTTTTTATTTTGGTATACTTAATTGAACATCTCTATTTCTACCAACACTGATTTTTTAAAAGATTTTATTTATTTATTTATTTATTTATTTATGGAGAGAAGGGAAGGGAAGGAGAAAGAGGCAGGGGCTGGGGGAGAGAGAGAAAGAGAGAAAGAATCATCAATGTGCAAGAGAAATATCAGCTGGCTGCCTCTCACACCCCCCAACTGGGGACCTGACCTACAACCCGGACATATGCCCTGTACGGGAATCTTTTGGTTTTCGAAACTATGGCCAACCCACTAAGCCATCCCAGTCAGGGCCCAACACTGATGCTTCCATAACAATGATAATAAAAATAAAAATCATATTTGACTAGGCTTATATAAATGTAGAGATAGTCTCCTCTGTGTTATTGATACAAACTTCCCCTTTATGTGTGAATGAAGCACTTCTTTCTCCTCTGTCAAATACTGGTAAATCCTTTTATACTTCCGTAAATATCAGCCTTCTGCGTCTTCATTACTTTCTCTTCCTTGTCCTCTGGTGCACTGAGCTGTCTTTGTCCAACAGTACAATTTTATCACCCTTCTTTTTTTATACACATGGAATGACCCAGCTGTTTCTTGATGAGATGATATAACAACTTCCAATAATCTCCACGTGAAAGTGAATTCTATCAGTTTAAGCTCTGCATATGCATTTGCCAAGAAATGGTGTTTTATTGTTCTTCCAAAGTGCAACTAGTTTGATATTTTCATTTCTTTTTATACAAGTTTTTATCAGAGGAAATGATTCATGTGATTAGTTCTATAAGCTATTCCAGAAACCATAATTCATTCTCCCTCTTTTGACATATTCTCCCAGGTAAAAGAGTTCAATTTTCTAACTGCAGGTACCTCAGTTAATGCCTGAGCATCATGCCTTTACTCCCCCAAACCATATCCTTTTTCAATCCAGATCTTTCTATTTCTAGGCCTCTTCCAACCCATAGTCCCCATTTTACTAGTTCTTTATACAGTGTTCTTGAGAAACCTGCTTCATTTTCTTGTTTTCTAGAACATATTGTCTATTCTTTCAAACAAATAGATCTGAGTGTCTTCTTAAAGATATTACAATCCTCATATTTCTCCGAGGAAGGTCACCTTTTTTCTATTCCCCTTCTCCCACCACTAGAAACAGCAGGTATAGGTATTTTCAAACCTTGTTGATCTGGCTTTTGAAATTCAATGTATACTAAGTCATAAACATTTATGATTCCCTATCTACTTCCAGAATATGATTTCAGCTCCCAGGAAGAAAGAGTTTAACCTCTCTACTTCAATCTCTGCCATCCTACAGGAACTCTACATATAACAATTAAAATAAAGTAGAACACAACCTACAGCATTTCCCCTATTTGGTGATCACTGGCTTTGGTTGCATACTCTAGATAATGTTTCATTGGCCTCATAAGACCTTCCACTCTCCACTTCTCTGGTCTCTTTCTAGCTTCACTTAACTTTCTCATCAACTCATGGAACCTGCATTTGTTTCTTACAAACTTTCACACCAAATAGCTTTGATCTTGGTAAACTAGTAAGTGAACATTCTGACTTGAGATTGAGGTGAGTCTGATCTAGAACTAAGTCCTTAAGAAAAGTACTGATGCTATTTATTATCCCCAAACTGTTCTTCTGAAAATTATACTCTTGTCCACTTGTTGGCTCATTCATAATGGCAATTTCATTTGAACTCCCTTTCAGCCTCCTCACCATCCCATCCTGGTTTTGCATGTTTGCACATTTGACCAGTGCAAACTGCCACACTCAACATGGGTCTCTACTGCCCTCTAATGTCCACTATAAGAAGAGACCCACCATGGGCCAGGTTGATTCTGTGGAAAAGTACTGGATTGATAACAATCATGGCTGGAGTCCCAATGCCTCATATCCATACTTGTAAACGAGTCTCTTATTAACATTATATTTTACACATTCCAAACTTTCTTTTTTTCATGGACCATTCCTAGATATGCTGCCTTAATCTCAAATGAATATGCTCACCTAGCCAATTACGTGAGCATTTTCTCTTCTCTTGGAATATTTGTGTCTCCCCTTTTCAGTCTGCCTCTGAAGAAGTGAACCTTCTTTTATCCAAAGAAGAATCCATATCTTAGGGTAGTAAGAGCAGATGAAAAAATGATCAGAAGGAGTAGAAATGTAGAAAAGGTAGAAAGAGCAGAAATGGGGGCAAGTATGGACAACTCTTCCCAGAAATGTGCAGCCAAAGGGAAGAAACAAAAATTGATAACAGAAGAAGATAGAATCATTGAAGGAAGGATTTGTTCAGTAAGGAAAACTAAATTTTATTTATAAGTTTATGAGGAACCTCCAGTAGAAAGTAAATGATGACTAGAACATGAACCAGAGCAAACAGCAGTGGGTTCTTCATCTCATAGTCTTCCATTTTTCTTTCCTTGTATCTTCCCTTTACTCTTCTTCATCCTAAAGTCTCAGGCACCATGCACTGAATATAAATGTGGTCAGAAATACTTGCTCAACTGAATTGTACCAATTGGAAAATACTGGACTCATCAAATTATGTAGCTCAAATGATATCACAATTAGGGTTCTCTTGAAAGGTTCATGCTTTTGTCTAAAAAGGTTCATGCTTTTTGTCTAAATGGCACACCCACCACTACCATCTCCTACTTTGTAAGAAAAGTGAGCCTGAGGAGAGCAGCTGCCTTACCATCGTGGTTTATATCAATCTTATAAAACACCAAGCTGGTGAATTCTTTGGGACTCAGAGTTTGCTGGCCATTGAGGGCTTGTATGGTCTGCAAAGAGAAATTAAATCAGGGAGGTTAACTCTGCTGGAAGTAAAAACATTTTATGGCATTTCTACCCCTATGTGACAGAATTTGGGGATGTATACATGTGGGTTTTATTATCTAACTTATTCTAGTCCTTAAAAATAAAAAAGATTTTATGTCAGTTCTGAGTATTGAGGCTTGGGAGTTAAATGATCTGAATACAGACCGAAGTTTGATTTTATATAGCACAGAGGCGCCCATTCAACTTATTAGGTCACAAAAGATGCCAAGAACCCACTGGAGAAAAAAATTGCAGTGGTCACTGTCATAACAATTGCAGACCCAGAGAACAGATGATATTTTCCATTTCAGACCTATCATCTTTGATCTCATGGATGAACATAAAAAGATGATCTGTGAATATCCAAGGCTTCCTTTCTGGCTTCTGACATTGGTACCTCTAATCCTTTCTGCCCTTTAATAGAATGTTTGAATGGAGAGACAGATATTTATGTCTTGGAAGGACATTGAATTTCTCTCCCACTCTGCCAGCACCTTTTCATCATAAAAACTGTCAGGAGACTTGAGAAAAATGACATTTCCAGCTTTTCTGTGGAAAGATTTAAATCCCCACCCCTCATCCATGTTCCAGGTAATTAAATTAAACAGCCCATAATTAACATAAAAATTCATAATAAGCTTAAAAAAAGACACACACACAGAATAAATTAGTCATCTGGAATTTGAACATAACTATCTTGATTGAACATCAGGGAATCTTTTTAGAAAAACTTGTGGCGACACATTTCAGTTAGAGGGCATGCTCTAAAACATGACTATATCTTTTGCTGTTTTTCTTGTTTTTTTTTCATAATATTCCTTCATTTTTAACACAATAATCATAAGTATTTCCATATATTTTATTTAGTTACAGTAAAAGTAGAGGAGAGCCAATTAAATAGAATGGGAAAGATGAAGGTCTCCTATTTTTGCTTTTGATATTGGTGCCCGGGCAAAGAATGATAGACACATAGCAAACTAGACAATATCATAGAATAAGGAAGCTTTTTTCAGCATTATTGCTGTAGTTCAAAACTTGCTGAGGAAGCTGTGCTTAGAAGTAAGACTGGACTTCCTAAATTTAAACAATAAAACTGAGGCTGCAGTGCCACTGTGATCAGATTGATCATATCCATGGGGATTTTATGCAACATGTATGTTTTTGCACCCTTGACAGCACAGCAGCAAGGATTCAAGTCTCCTGGCACTTTGGCGATACTTGCCACATAGGCTGCGGAAACAACACTTTGAATTTCAGGGGTGGTATATGTTTTCTATTAGCAATCTTAAATTTTGCTGTTTCTCAAGCATGACTAGTCCTGAAACCAGGATTAATCACAATAAACAGTTGCAAAGCACCACTCCTGGCCCTAGCAATTCAAGGTCTCACTGTTAAATATAGGGCAATATAGAGTAATTGTTACGGTTATGTAGCATCTTATTAAATGAAGTTTTTAGGTTTTGTAATGTCTTGGCAGAGACACCAGAGCCTAGAAGATATGGTTAGGCCTCCAGTATCCCCACACCCTGAAGTGACTTTAGTCCTCATAGAAAGAAGTCATAATAAAAGATTATAAAATGTCTAGGACTTGTCCATCACCAATCCCCTGGCAATGCAAGTGAGAGTGAAGGATTGATTGGAAGGTGACAATGCTCAAGGGGATATTTTTGGAGGGAACTGTCAAGCCCTGTGTCTTCCCTCTTTTTTATAAGAAGAGCATGGTGGGGAGATGAGGAGGGAGAATGGTTTGTTTTATTGTTTCCTTCCTTATTTAGTATATGCTCTTTCTCCCGCATTTTGCTAAGCTTTTCTCTGACTACTCCCTGAGTGGGAGCAGGAGGAGGTAGGAGAGAAAGGGAAGCAGGACTTAGTTCTGTTATGGTTATCTAGTTTCAGAGTTCTCTGGATGGCAGATGTCTAAAGTCCACTCTTTTTCTGAGCAGCCCCCTCACCTCCTTTTTGTTACTCTCTCCTGCAATCACCTAAACATAAAGCATGCACTTTAATTCCAGCTGACCCTCTGAGGCTCCTCTGTAGCTTCCACATCTGAGTTTCTCAACACCTACACAACTGCCAGGTTGGACTAGGTATTTCTTTCTTGTTCAGGATCATGCCCTGCATTGTTTAACAACATAATGTTTAACAACAGCCCTGGTCTCTGAACAATAAATGGTGGTAGCAGAACACCCTCCACAGCTCCCCAGTTGACAACCAAAACATCTCATCACATTGCCAAATGTCTCCAGGGGAGAAGGAGTGTAAAACTGCTCCTGGTTGAGAATCATTCTCTAAATCTATCTCCAGCTTTCTTCTTCTGAGGGTCCCTCCCTTCTCCAAGTGGCTCCGTTGGTCAAGATTCAAGACAACTATGTGACAGCTTCCCCTCCCAGTGGACCATATCTGATCCATGGTGCAACCCAGGCATCCTTCAATCAAACAAGTTCTAGAAATGCAGACATTTCCTAAACCTCATCCCTTTGACTCTGCTGCCATGTGCTCCTCTTCAGGCTTTTTGGGCACGGCACAGACACAGCAGCCTTGTGTTCCCAAACCATAGGGTCTATCCTCATCACAACGGCCTCCTTAATCTCTATGCTGCTGACTTGAGCACTATCACCCAAGAAATCCTTTCTTATAATCCTTTTAAAAACCCTTATTTCATAGCCTTGAAGTGAGGTTAAGCTGTAACTACTTCCTTTGTATATTCTGCCCATATTCTAGTACTTCCTTCAGGTCTTGAGATGACTGGGCTGAATTCCATTTTAACAACCTGTTGAGAGAACATATATTATACAGTATATATTATTCTTCACCCTGCTGGGTTTCTGCAGTAATATAGAATGTATGATTATAACACTTTTTTTCATAAGTGCATATTCCATTGTAGTAATTTATTTTATTTTATTTAAAATTATTTTGTTATTGTTATTCTATTACAGTTGTCCCAATATTTTCCCCTTTGTTCTCCTCTGCCTAGCCCATGCCCCACAGTCAGTCCTCACACCATTTTCCATGTACATGGGTCATTCATACATGTTCTTTGCCTAATCCCTTTCCCCTCTTTCCACCATTATCCCCCTCCTGCCTGCCAGCTGCTGTCAGTCTGTTCCATGTTTCCATGCTTCCGGTCCTATTTTAAAATTTTCCTCTTTTAGGTTGTTTTGTATTTTTACTCTCTTAAATGATTCTGTGATGTAAATTAGATACTTCTATCTTTATGAGATTAATAATTATTTTTTTCTGAACTAAAGTTAGAAATGTTGAATAAATTAAAAATGAATTAAAGACTTAAATGTTAGGCTTGAAACCATAAAAATCCTAGAACAAAACACAGGCAGTGAAATCTCAGACATTGCTTGTAGCAATATTTTGTTCTGATATATGTCCTCAGGCAAGGGAAACAGAAGAAAAATAAATTGGATCATATCAAACAAAAATTTTTGTACAGAAAGAAATATTGCACAGCAAATGAAAAAAAAAAGACAACCCACTGAATTGGAAAACATATTCTCCAATATATCTGATAAGAGATTAATATCCAAAATTTATAAAGAACTTACAAGTCTCAACACACACAAAAAAATCCAATTAAAAAATGGGCAAAAGATCTGAGTAGACACTTCTCCAAAGACATATGGCCAAAAGACATATGAAAAGATGCTTAACATCACTAATCATCAGAGAAATGCAAGTTAAAACCACAATGAGATATCACCTAATGCCTTTCAGCATGGCTATCATTAATAAATCTACATACAAGTGCTGGCAAGAATGCGGAGAAAGGGGAACCCTTTGGCACTGTTGGTGGGAATGTAGATCGTTGCAGCCACTGTAGAAAGTAGTATGGAGTTATCTCAAAAAATTAAAAATGGAACTTCTTCATGAGTCAGCAATTTCACTTCTGGGAATTAATCCAAAGAAGTGAACAAAACACTAATTTGGAATAATATAAGCACTCCTGTGTTCTTTGCCACATTATTTACAATTGCCAAGATTTGGTAGCAGCCTAAATGTCCATCAGTAAAAGAGTGGATAAAAAGGCTATGGTGCATTTATGCAATGGAATATTACTCTGCCACAAAAAAGAAAAATTTGTTCTTTGCAACAGTATGCATGGACCTGGAGAACATTGTGCTAAGTGAAATAAGCCAGCCAAAGAAAGGCAAATACCATATGATTTCACTTATATGTGAAGTCTAATGAAAAAACTGAGTTAACAAGCAAAACAGAGACAGACTCAGATAGAGAGCAGACTGGCAGCTCTGGGGGAAGCGTAGTTAGGGGCTGGATTGAGCTAAAAAGAAAAAGAACTCATGGATATGGACAACAGTGTGGTGACGTCAAGGGGTGGGGTGGGTGCAGGTGGAAAAGGGTATAAGGTGGGATAAATGGTAAGGGAAACATACAATAAACAATTGTTTTAAATAACAAAAAATAAACATTTATTTTAGTGACCTAAAAATTAAATTAAATTAAATTCAACTTAAATATAGCATCTTAATGCAGATAATCAGATTTCAAAGAATGTTACCCATTTATATACTCCACAGTGGGTAAGGATGCTCTTCTTATAGTGTCACTGCCAGAAATACATCTTATTGCCTTTAATCTTTATTAATTTAATTGAAGACTAATAGTATGCAATTATTAAATGTCTGCTCTGTGCTTTCATTATTTTAGTTTTCTTATTTTGATTCTGTTTTCTTTAGAAGTAAAACTGAATTAGCTACTCAATATTTCCCTTTCCTTGACTCACTAGGTTATACAATTTAATTAATGAAAATATATGTACATTTTTCCACAGGATTTAGACAAAATCACTTTTATCTTTTTGTTCTTCCTAATTCTTTTGAGACTCTGATGACCCCTTCCTCCCACCCCAAAGTGGATGACACACAGGCAACATTTTGCCCTGGATTTCAAAGGTCTCAAGGGCCCTTATGCACAGACCCCAGGGAAACAAACCCCGCTCTGAGAGCTGCCCCAGAGGCTTCTCTTATTTGCACGCTGTATTGGGGATTCGATGTTGCTAAAATACGTTTGAGTATATTTATTTAAAAAGAGAATTTCACATTTACATGGGGTTAGGCACTCTCTATGAAATATTTTAGATTCTGAATTCTGTGTTGCAACCTGCAGTATGTATGCAAAATTTCTAAATTTAATGCTTACAAAGTTTGATTACAAAGTGCTTTTTAGTACTTTTTTTTGTGGTGAATTGTCTATGAGAGATTAAAATGGAAGTAATATTCGTATTATCATGCTTTTGAATTCTTACCATATATTGATTAACTATACATTCCCTAAAAGTTTTAAATTTTAACAAGTTTGTCCATTTGTTGAGGTATTTAATTGAAATTGTAGTTCTGCCCATTTTTTGCACTTTTACTAATATTTCTACTATAAATTATGTGTGTAACTCAGCTCTTTCATCTATAATTGAAAGAATTTCAACCAGATTATTTTAAAGACATCTGATTATAACCCCAATTCTTTTATAAATTCAGTGTATTGAATCCAAAATGTTTATTTTACTTTATATCTTCAGTTAGGTAAAATCTCTCACTTAATGATCTTTTACTCTGAAAATCCATTTTATCTCCTCCAGTGATGATAACTATCCCCACTCCATTGGGGAAGGGGAATGAGATTTATAAAAGGACTTATTGAACTTTAGAAGTGGAAAGGACTGGGAATTATGGAGCCATTTATTAGAAATACTTCAGTCCAGCTCCCAGAAAATTTAGTCCGCAGACACCTTCATTCTTAGTCTACACCTCCATTATATAAGCCATCTTCCTTTACAGTTGCTCCCTGCAAGACTTTGTGCACTGAGGCAGAAGAAAAAAGATAAGTTGTTTTAAGTTGTGTTTATTTCATTTTTCATGTCAATGCTGTGCTAAATTTGTGAACTTCAGAGTAGACTACACTGAGAAGAAAATGTGATTCACAGTTTTACACTCAGTGACCAATAAGATAGTGACACTTAACGTTGTTTCATGAATGCCACGTGTGCATCCCAAAACAGCCAAGCACATGGAAAGCTGTCACTACTCCACACGGATGAAAATTGATAAAACATCCTGCGGAGGAAAATTTTACCACTTCACTCACCGTGAACATGTTCAGTAGTTCCTTTTTGTCAATAGAACCATTTCCGTCAGCATCATATAGCTTAAAATACCATTTTAATTTTTGCTCCATTTTTCCTCGTACAACTAGATTAACTGCAGCAATAAACTCTAAAAAGTCAATAAATCCATCCTATGGAAAGCAAGGGGGAAAGAGAAATATTTAAGAAGAGAAATAGTTTTTATTTGAGAAGTCATCATTTATGAGCAGTATCTTTAGTACAATTTAATACAACTCAAACGATTTTAGCATAAAAATTTTTCCTGGTGTTTAATTTGTGTGGTGTACACACACACACACACACACACACACACACACACACACACACCAATGAAACAGAATGGACAGCCCAGAAATAAACCCACACTTAATAGTCAATTATTATTTGACAAAGGAGGCCAGTGCATACAATGGAGTAAAGACAGTCTCTTCAATAAATGGTGTGGGGAAAATTGGACTGGTACATGAGAAAAGAATGAAATTAGACCACCAACTTACACCTTGCACTGGAATAAACTCAAAATAGATAAAAGACTTAAATGTTGGAATCAAAACCATAAAAATCCTACAAGGAAACATAGGCAGTGAAAGTCAGACATTTCTTTTTTTGTGTGTGAATATATATTTTCATTTTTAACCTTTTAAATTATTGTTCAAGTATAGTTTTCTGCCTTTTCCGCCACTTCTCCCCACCACCCCAGCCTTCCCCACCTCCCTTCCCTGTTTCTACCCCCCATCCCCCGTGTTATTGTCCATGTGTTCTTTATACCTGTTCCTGCAAATCCTTCCCCCTTTTCCCCTATAATCCTCTCCCCTCTCCCCTCTGGTCACTGTCAGCCTGTTCTCAATTTCAATGTCTTTGGTTATATTTTGTTTGTTTGTTTGTTTTGTTGAGTAGGTTCCTATTAAAGGTGAGATCATATGGTATTTTTCTTTCACTGCCTGGCTTATTTCACTTAGCATAATGCCCCAGTTCCATCCATGCTGTCACAAAGGGTAGGAGCTCCTTCTTTCTTTCTGCTGTGTAGTATTCCATTGTGTAAATGTACCACAGTTTTTTGATCCACTCATTTACTGATGGGCACTTAGGTTGCTTCCAGCACTTGGCTATTGTAAATTGTGCTACTATGAACATTGGGGTGCATAGGCTCTTTTGGATTAGTATTTCAGGGTTCTTAGGATATAATACTAGCAGTGGAATTGCTGGGTCAACAGGCAGTTCCATTTTTAGTTTTCTAAGGAAATTCTATACTATTTTCCACAGTGGTTGCACCAGTCTGCATTCCCACCAACAGTGCACTAGGGTTCCCTTTTCTCCACATGCTCTCCAACACTTGTTTGTTGGTTTGTTTATGATGGCCATTCTGACTGGTGTGAAGTGGTATCTCACTGTGGTTTTAATTTGCATCTCTCTGATAGCTAGCGATACTGGGCATCTTTTCATGTGTCTCTGGGCTCTCTATATGTTCTCCTTGGAGAAGTGTCTGTTCAAGTCCTTTGCCCATTTTTTAATTGGGTTGCTTGTCTTCCTGAACTGGAGTCATGTGAGTTCTTTATATACTTTGAAGATTAAACTCTTGTCTGAAGTATCATTGGCAAATATGTTTTTCCATATGGTTGGTTGTTTTCTATTTTAATACTCTTTTCTTTAGCTGTGCAGAAGCTTTTTATTTTGATGAGATCCTATTTGTTTATTCTTTCCTTTATGTCCCTTGCTCTAAGGGACATATCAGTGAAAATATTGCTGTGTGGAATATCTGAGATTTTCCTGCCTATGTTCTCCTCTAGGACTTTAACAGTGTCATGAAATATTTAAGTCTTTTATCCACCTTGAGTTTATTTTTGTGTATGGTGTAAGTTGGTGCTTGCGTTTCATTTTTTTTGCATGTTGCTGTCCAGTTCTCCCAACACCATTTGTTGAAGAGGCTATTTTCACTCCATTTTATGCTGCTGCCCCCTTTGTTATATATTAATTGACTGTAGAGACTTGGGTTTACTTCTGGGCTCTCTGTTCTGTTCCATTGTTCTATGTGTCTGTTCTTATGCCAGTACCAGGCTGTTTTGATTATGGTGGCCTTGTAATACAGTTTGATATCAGGTATTGTGATCCCTTCTACTTTGTTCTTCTTTTCTCAAAATTGCTGCAGCTATTCGGGGTTTTTTATTGTTCCATGTAAATTTTTGAAGTGTTTGCTCTATATCTGTGAAATATGCCATTGGTACTTTAATAGCTATTGCACTGAATCTATAAATTGCTTTGGGTAGTATGGACATTTTGATGATGTTAATTCTTTTGATCCATGAACACGATATATGTTTCCATTTGTTTGTGTCTTCCTTAATTTCTTTCTTCAGTGTTGTGTAGTTTTCTGAGTACAGGTCTTTTACCTCCTTGGTTAGGTTTATTCCTAGGTATTTTATATTTTGTGTTGCTATATTAAATGGGATTTTTTTCCCTGATTTCTATTTCTGATGTTTCATTTCTTAAGGCAATATTTTTCTGATATGTCTTCTCAGGCAAAGGAAACAAAAGAAATAAATAAATAGATCAGACTACACCAATCTAAAAAGTTTTTACACAGCAAAGGAAACCATCAACAAAATAAAAAAACAACCTGCTGACTGGAAGAACATATTCACGAATGCTACATTTTATAAGGGGTTAATATCCAAAATTTATAAAGAACATATAAAACTCAACACCAAGAAAAAACAAACAATCCTATTAAAATTGGGCAAAGGACTTGAATAGACACTTCTCCAGGTAGGACATACAGATGGCCAGTAGAAGATGCTCAAGGACACTAATCATCAGAGAAATGCAAATTAAAAACACAAAGAGGTATCACCCTGTACCTGTCAGAATGGCTAAAATCAATAAATCAATGAACAACAAGTGTTGGTGAGGATATAGAGAAAGGTGAACCCTTGTACACTGTTGATGAGAAGACAGATTGATGCAGCCACTGTGAAAAGCATTATGGAGTTACCTCCAAAAATTAAAAATGGAACTGCCTTATGACCCAGCAATATCACTTCTGGGGGTATATTTGAAGAAACCCAGAACACTAATTAGAATTTGTTTGAATTCAAAAGAATATATGTACACTTATGTCTGCAGCATTATTTACAGTCACCAAGATTTGGAAACTGCCTAAGTGCCCATCAGTAGATGAGTGGATAAAAAAGTCTGTGGTACATTTACACAATAGAATGCTACTCAGCCATAAAAAAGAAGGAAATTTTACCCTTTGTGACAGCATGGATGGACCTGGAAAGCACTGTGCAAAGTGAAATAAGCCAGTCAGAGAAAGAAAAGTACCATATGATTTTACTCATATGTGGAATTGAATGAACAAAATAAACAAAATAGAAACAGACTCATAGATAGAGAACAGACTGACAGCTGTCAGGGGAGAGGGGGTTGGGGGCTTTGTGAAAAAGGTGCTCTCTGTGAAGGGAAATAGACAGCAGTATGGTGATTTCCAGGTGAAAGTGGGGTGGGAGAAGGGGTAAAGGAGGAATAAATGGAGATGGAAAGAGATTTGGCTTGGTGAACACACAATACAATATACAGATTATGTATTTCAGAATTGTATACCTAAAGCCTATAATTTTATTAATCAAGGTCACCCCAATAATTTCAATAAAAGGTAAAAAATCTTAAAGTTTAAAATAATAATAATGTACAGGTAATGTGTATAGAAACAAGGAAAGTGCCCTGACCGGGAATCAAACCAGCAAACTTTCAGTTTGTAGGATGACGCCCAACCAACTGAGCCACACCAGTCATCCTCTGCATTCCTTTTTAGAGAAACTTGTTGATCTCTTTGGACTGCTAAATTTCAGGATTCCTTTTAAGAGCCTCATTTTTGGTATGAATCTAAATTCATACCAAACTTTTTTCCTGTAAAGATTTTGTCCTATTAGTCAATCTTAGAAAATACTGTTTAAGGGTTACAAATTTAGGTAGTTCTTCTCATCCAATTTAAACCGGTAAAACATTCTTAGTTGAAAAGATACAGTTGTGTCATTCTTAAGAACCATACACTTCAAAGTTTGCTCTGCCAAATACTCAACTATTTAAGAAAGGTGGCCAGCTCCAGCTGTGTGATTCACTATGCTATTTTTCCACGAGTTCAGATGCTGATGGTAGCATATCCAGACCAAGGCACGCTGTCAGTTGCATTCTCTTTGGAATATTTTCGATGTCAAGTCTTATTTACAAAACAGGATGTGACATAAAGTACCCCTTCCCCTTGGACATGAAGAGCTTAGACTTATTGGTCTATAAAGTGATATGTGTTTGCCTTGAGTCTCAATGTTTTGTGTCTAGTTCCACCAAGTCCATAAGAAAAGCAACTGAGATATCACTAGTAGTTTTGAAAGTGAAGCTGAGCCTATTTGGTTGGTTAATGGTTATTTTTAAAAGGCACCTACAGCATCTCTGATATTAGAAACCAGTGTGCTAATCATTATAGCATTATCTTCAAAATATATTACATTTTTACATTTTCTACACACCATGAATGTTTTACCCTTGTTGAAAATTATATGTAAAAAAGAAGACAAAGAAAATATTTAAAACCATCAGTTTCACCTCTGTGGTAAATGATGTATAAAAAATAAGATATAGAAAATACTTAAATATCATCTCATTATATCTGGGTATTAGAGTTTTACATTTTACAATTTAGGCAACTTTACCCCATCAATAACTTTAGTACTTCTTCTGAGATAAGACTTCTGCTACCAGGTGGAGTCTTGTTGAATGAGTCTCCTAAAGGAAGTTTGCTCAAGTGTACAAAATGTAAAATGATTTTACCTTTTCTCCATTTGCCTTTCCTATTGTTTGTTACCACCACCTTATTAATCCCTAGCAGAGCTATGGCTGAGATGAGGGAAATATGTTTTTACGGAGTTGAAATTTATTTGAGATGACATCAAGACATCGCATCTCCAGATTTGGCAGGACATGACCATTATTTTCGGAAATAAGACTGGCAGGTGCAGAGGATGTAACCCAGGTGGACAGTATCCAACCAGGGGCACATCTGCTCCCAGGTCTCTCTCCCTGTGTCTCTAGAGCTGACCAATCAATACAACTGTTTCCAGGGTAGTTACTGTGCTTG